TTGAAACTAATTGGACTGTTCTTTTAACTAATTAAACCACCATTTAACCTCATACAAAGTTTATATTTTTATAATTATATTTAAATTTCTATAATATTATTACAATATAATTTTATTCCACCCGAATAGATTTAGCTACATAAAGAGCTTATTAGTGTTAAACAAAATCGTATGTATTCGACTATTCCACAAGGACCGTTGCAATGTAACAAATGACAAATGTATATGTTGGTATCGTAAAGTTTCAATATTATTATTATTCTTCGGCAAAAACAAGTTGTTTTCATAATTCGTTTTGTCTTTTGTGTACTTAAGTGTTCAAAGCATTTTTCTGAAATCCCTATAGCTATGTAAACAAATGAAAAATCTTTAAAATTTAACACAATACAAAAAAAAAATATATAGTTTTGTTTTTGGTCGAAATCAAGATTTCATTAAAATTATTTCAGTATAGCTATAATATCATCACATAACATACTAATATAATATTTATGCTTCTTAACCCAGTGGTGGGTGAGAGAGTCGTTAAAGCAGTAGATCCACTGTAGGGAAGTAGCAGAAGACAGAGAGAGATGGAGGGAAATTTGTTGTACGGGATTGTCTTAAATGTCGGAACCCCCCCCCCCCCAAAAAACCCCATTGGGGGGTTTGAGATGGAGGGGGCGATGAGGCAATCGCCCCCCTTGGCTCAAGTTTATATACATATGTTATTGTAAATTATGAGAATGTTTAGTTTATAAGTGCGTGTAATTAATTGTAATTATTAATTCATCTTTAAGATAAATTATCATTAATAATATGATAATAATTAATAACAATTTTATTATACCTACAAGAAACAAAAATCCCTCCCCCCCCCTGAACAACCCCTTATATATTTAATTATTAATATTTTATGCACTCAACTTGCGTTTTATATTTGATTTCAATCTTATGTTTACACAAAATCCAATGATTTATTTTCTTACATTATCATGTACAGTGTTTTACCGCCATTTATGTATAACCATGTATAGTTTTATTTTTTACTTATCGAAAACATGTTGTTTTTCACAACAACTGTTGCCAACTAAATTAATAACAAAGAACTGTAGGTATCATGCATTTTTAAGTTTTAACATTATACATTACAAATTTACTAATACAGAATTATTATTGTTTTTTTTCTCGAAAATAAGTGTTTTTAAAAGCATTACGTTTTGTATTTAATGTACTTAATTGTTAGAACTATTTATTTGCTCGTACACTAGAACCCTGATTTTACAATAATTGTAGAAGAATAACATGGTTCATGGCCGTCTCTGCTTTATATGGAGGACCCACAGCAGGATTTATAATCAAACCAGAAAATATTAAGAAAACAGTTAATTTTAGGTGCATTTTATCTATTACTTTAGCTACAACAAATTAATGTACAACTCAAAACCCATACGAGTAGATTATTTTCTCTACAAATCCCAGTTTTATAAAGAATGAAAAGCCCAAGTATATATAAATAATAAATAAATTTTCCCAAATAAGATTGCTTAAAATATTTATGTTGTGGTTATTGTGTGTATTTTATTATAAAATATACGTTTTCGTATTTCAATACATTTTTTTAAAAGCGCATAAATATATTTCTAAATAAATCTAAATATATTTTAGAATGGAGTGTCTATCAAAAACTGTCACAGTAAACCTCTAAAGTTCAGTATTTATTTTTATCCCAAAAAAAAAATTACATATATTATATTTAAAATAATGTAACAATACAACACAACATAATATTCTACTATATTACTATATATAGGCAACACAATGTACAGTTCAGCGGATCAGCACAATATAATTCTTGCCATCTTGGAGGTATAATTTACAAAACATAATTTGAAAAATGGGATTTCCTAATAATTGTATTAAAACCCTTTTTTTTCCAAACGTACCTACACAATACACTGTTTTTTGGGGAGACAAGTGACGTTTAGTAAAACGGCGAGACGCATTTATCTAACTAAATTGGTATGCGTTTTTTTGTCGAATAATTGAATTTCGCTTATCTGCTGAAAATGTACATTGTGTTGCCTATATTTAGGAACATATAATAATATATTATTGTATTATATTGTGATATATTTAAGTGAGAAAATATATGGTTTGATATGATGTATGTTTTCCAACACGGAAACGAATTCTATCTACAAGGGCTGTGTTACTTATTTGTCTAGTTTTTATTCAAAAATGGATTAAAATAAGGAAATGTATGGTTTGATGTGATGTTTGTTTTCTAACGCGGAAACGTATTTAAAACAAATAAGTTGTGTTATTTATTTGTCTTGGGCTTTTAAAATAATTTAGTGAAATGAGAAAACATATAGTTTGATGGGTTATTTGTTGTCTAACATGGAAACATATTGAAAACACATATACTGTAATACTTATATTTGTTGTGCTTTTAAAACTTATGGAAATAAGAAAGGAAAGATGTGTTTGATGTGATGTTTGTTTTCGAACACGGAAACGAATTCTAAACCCGAGAATTGTTTTTTTTATTTGTCTTGAGCTTTTAAGTCAATTTATGGAAATAAGAAAAAATATGGTTTGATGTGATATTTGTTGACTAACACGGAAACGTATTCAAAATTGATAGTACAAGATTTCGCTAGCCATATATAGAATGTTTTGTAAAATTGACAAATGTTAATTTCTAACAAAATTAAACGTGTTTAAAACATACAATTGTTTAAGTGCATTTATTTATTTGAGTATAACGTGCAACAAGGGTAATGAGTACAGTACAAGTTAAATAACGACAATTTGACACAGAATATAATCGGCTGATAATAGGTGTTGATCCGGGCTCGCTTAGAAATCTCCAAAAAAATGTCCTAAATCATATTTTACAAACAATAAAGGTAATATATTCCCAGCCCTAGCAACTCCCAATGTTATATCTATTCCTTATGAGCTGACGAAGGACTCTCCTATACCAAAGTCCCTAAGTTTGTGTACTTAGTTGGGATGTTAACTGAATCGCTTTTTGTAAAAAGGCCACATGTTTCAACAGGTGAACTTTTGGGAAATTAAAAAAAAACTGCATAACTTTCAAAATGTGGTAGCTTTGTAAATCATTTCTTTTTTATGTGCATTATGACGTGCATGGCACTCGACATTTATACCAAATTTCGATATTGTAAAAATATTCGATTCCAGTTTATACTAGTTGAATGTTGCAAAAAAATTTAACAAAAAATGTAACATATGCCCTTTTAACAAAAAGCGTCAAACGGTAGTTATGAAACTGAGTTTGAATTTGTGAGAAATAATCGATCCGACCAAGCAAAGTAAAAATAAACGAACAGGCTGATGCAAATTAAAAATTCAAACGCTGACATTTTTTAAAATTGTTTTTCTCCTTATTTATGAAACTGAAAACATATTTTCCCATTTGAATAAACAGAGTCCATACTCCTATTACGTATAAGGGACGAAGGTAAACATTTTGTATTGATAAATACAGTAAAGTATGTACCTACAAGTACAGGGAAAAATTGATTTTCAATATATTGATATTCTCTCAGAAAATGAGTGTCTTACATTAAATGGATCACCCTGTATATAAACCGTTATCAAATGTTACTAAACCAACTAGCGTAAGACACTCATTTTTTCTGAAAATATGAATATTTTGAGAATTTTTTTGCCTAAACAGTTATCGTTTAAACAGAACTTTTATTATATGTGTTACTCTAACAGTGACCACCCTATCCAATCCCAATTTGTTCCGTTACCACTATGCACCAACCCCATTGTACTGGGTTTTTCCATATATTCATTTGAAACCTTTTAGGAAATATTATGACGTTTTGCCATTGTTATTATTTTTTTTAATAAGATTAAATTTGTTTTCTAACATATTACAAAAAAATTGTGTTATTCATTATTTGTCTTATGCGTTTAAAACATATTGAAATGAGGAAATATACGATTTTATATGATGTTTGATTTCTATCACGGAAACGTATTTAAAACAAATAAGCTATTTTATTTATTTGTCTTGTGCTTTTAAAACAATTTATTTAAGTAAAAACAAATATGGTATGATGTGATGTTCGTTTTCTAACACGGAAACATATTCAAAACACATTACTGTATTATTTATGTGTGTTCTGTTTTTAATACAATTTATTGAAATAAAGAAGTATATGATTTGATGTGATGTTTGATTTCTAACACGGAAACGTATTTAAAACAAATAGGTTGTGTTATTTATTTGTCTTGGGCTTTTAAAATAATTTAGTGAAATGAGAAAACATATAGTTTGATGGGTTATTTGTTGTCTAACACGGAAACATATTGAAAACACATTTACTGTAATACTTATGTTTGTTGTGCTTTTAAAACAATTTCTTTAAGTAAGAATAATATGGTTTAAGATGATGTTTGATTTCTAACACGGAAACGTATTTAAAACAAATAAGTTGTGTTATTTATTTGTCTTGGGCTTTTAAAATAATTTAGTGAAATGAGAAAACATATAGTTTGATGGGTTATTTGTTGTCTAACACGGAAACATATTGAAAACACATATACTGTAATACTTATATTTGTTGTGCTTTTAAAACTTATGGAAATAAGAAAGGAAAGATGTGTTTGATGTGATGTTTGTTTTCGAACACGGAAACGAATTCTAAACCCGAGAATTGTTTTTTTTATTTGTCTTGAGCTTTTAAGTCAATTTATGGAAATAAGAAAAAATATGGTTTGATGTGATATTTGTTGACTAACACGGAAACGTATTCAAAATAATCAAGTTGTAATATTTGTTTGTCTTGCGCTTTTAAAAAATCCATTGAAATACGAAAACGTATAATTTATATTAAAATGTACACAATAACCACAACATAAACGTTTTAAGCAATCTTATTTGGAAAAATGTATTTGTTATTTATACTTGGGCTTTTCCATTCTCTATAAAACTAGGATTTGTAGAGAGAAAAAACTATTCGTGTGATTTCTGAGTTCTACATTAATTTGTTGTAGCTAAAGTAGTAGATTAAATGTACTTAAAATTCATTATTTTCTTAATCGTTTCTGTTTTTATTGTAAACCCTGTTGTGGGTCCTGATGTGGCCACGAACCAAGTAATTTTTTTTCTATATTTTCTCAGACACTGAATACTTAATTAGGTATCTCTAATAAATTTGTCAAAATTTTACTTTTGAATGACTTTTAGACGTATGTTATTCAACGAATAGGTTTTTGTTAATGTATTGGTAGTATAGCTAATAATCAGGTGCTCTAGTATACAAATACTTCAAATTAAAAAACATTTCCCATAAATAAAGTTATTTATGTACAAAAGTTGTTCCTTTTGTTTATGGTTTGTGAATAGTGTAATATCTTAAAAAAAAATTGTTTATTCAGTTAGTGATTTTCTCTACTTAACATTAAATCCTAATTATTTTGTTTATTAATAATTTTTTAAATTAATATTTCTTATAACTGTACGTGTATGTAATTCATTCAAATCAATTCTGTACATTATATTTGTCCGGAATTTCATCCAACTCTTTTTCTTAATCCTCAATCATGAATGAGTCATACAAATCTATTTTTTTTTAAAGTAAATAGCTAATTTAATTGTGGACAATATCAAATTTAGTTCATGGGTAAAAAGTTAATCTTGATGAAATCAATTTTGGAAAAACTTTATTTTTGTTCGTGAATTTTATTTAAATATACATTTATTGGAATTGTGCAGATCTCTGGCTTGTATCACGTTGATGATTGTCCGGTTTGTGTTGATCCCTGAATGAATTTAAATTGTACTGCCAGTTTTTTATGTAACGATGTTTAATGATATCAATGTTTAACTAAATTTCAGGCTCTAAATGACGCTTTTCAAAAGATTTTAAGAGGTCTCAGAAGAAGTAGTGATAGTTACATTACATTGGAACAGTTTTTGCTGAATGTGGCTGATAACAGAGGTATAAGCAGAACTGATGCAATGAAAGTGGTTGATGCTTACTACAAGGGCTCTGGAACGCCATTTTTACGTAAGCACAAATTATACTTCTCTTATCGTTCAATAATATTTTTTTCTTAGCTTCTATGCAAAGTAATTAAGTTTTTAGAAATAATTGCAATTTTAGACATAACTGTTGAGTTACAATGTGGAATATCCCGTTTTTACTCACCGTTTAAGCCACAATCATGTTCAACTGAAAACAAAAATATCTATTATAAAATGACCACAAGATTTATTTTGAAAGGAACTTCATATCTTCCTTAAACTATTTTAACTGACATTTTGTTGTCAGTTGCGCAGTGTATAACTGCTGTTTGTACACTAAAAATGTATACAAGTTGATCGTTTTTTTTTTTGTTTCAGAAAATATTAAATATAATGACTTTTATTATCTAGTTATAAACCTCTGCAGCCATCTCAAGTATGTTTCAGTACAAGATTTCGCTAGCCGTATATAGAATGTTTTGTAAAATTGACAAATGTTAATTTCTAACAAAATTAAACGTGTTTAAAACATACAATTGTTTAAGTGCATTTATTTATTTGAGTATAACGTCCAACAAGGGTAATGAGTACAGTACAAGTTAAATAACGACAATTTGACACAGAATATAATCGGCTGATAATAGGTGTTGATCCGGGCTCGCTTAGAAATCTCCAAAAAAATGTCCTAAATCATATTTTACAAACAATAAAGGTAATATATTCCCAGCCCTAGCAACTCCCAATGTTATATCTATTCCTTATGAGCTGACGAAGGACTCTCCTATACCAAAGTCCCTAAGTTTGTGTACTTAGTTGGGATGTTAACTGAATCGCTTTTTGTAAAAAGGCCACATGTTTCAACAGGTGAACTTTTGGGAAATTAAAAAAAAACTGCATAACTTTCAAAATGTGGTAGCTTTGTAAATCATTTCTTTTTTATGTGCATTATGACGTGCATGGCACTCGACATTTATACCAAATTTCGATATTGTAAAAATATTCGATTCCAGTTTATACTAGTTGAATGTTGCAAAAAAATTTAACAAAAAATGTAACATATGCCCTTTTAACAAAAAGCGTCAAACGGTAGTTATGAAACTGAGTTTGAATTTGTGAGAAATAATCGATCCGACCAAGCAAAGTAAAAATAAACGAACAGGCTGATGCAAATTAAAAATTCAAACGCTGACATTTTTTAAAATTGTTTTTCTCCTTATTTATGAAACTGAAAACATATTTTCCCATTTGAATAAACAGAGTCCATACTCCTATTACGTATAAGGGACGAAGGTAAACATTTTGTATTGATAAATACAGTAAAGTATGTACCTACAAGTACAGGGAAAAATTGATTTTCAATATATTGATATTCTCTCAGAAAATGAGTGTCTTACATTAAATGGATCACCCTGTATATAAACCGTTATCAAATGTTACTAAACCAACTAGCGTAAGACACTCATTTTTTCTGAAAATATGAATATTTTGAGAATTTTTTTGCCTAAACAGTTATCGTTTAAACAGAACTTTTATTATATGTGTTACTCTAACAGTGACCACCCTATCCAATCCCAATTTGTTCCGTTACCACTATGCACCAACCCCATTGTACTGGGTTTTTCCATATATTCATTTGAAACCTTTTAGGAAATATTATGACGTTTTGCCATTGTTATTATTTTTTTTAATAAGATTAAATTTGTTTTCTAACATATTACAAAAAAATTGTGTTATTCATTATTTGTCTTATGCGTTTAAAACATATTGAAATGAGGAAATATACGATTTTATATGATGTTTGATTTCTATCACGGAAACGTATTTAAAACAAATAAGCTATTTTATTTATTTGTCTTGTGCTTTTAAAACAATTTATTTAAGTAAAAACAAATATGGTATGATGTGATGTTCGTTTTCTAACACGGAAACAAATTCAAAACACATTACTGTATTATTTATGTGTGTTCTGTTTTTAATACAATTTATTGAAATAAAGAAGTATATGATTTGATGTGATGTTTGATTTCTAACACGGAAACGTATTTAAAACAAATAGGTTGTGTTATTTATTTGTCTTGGGCTTTTAAAATAATTTAGTGAAATGAGAAAACATATAGTTTGATGGGTTATTTGTTGTCTAACACGGAAACATATTGAAAACACATTTACTGTAATACTTATATTTGTTGTGCTTTTAAAACAATTTCTTTAAGTAAGAATAATATGGTTTAAGATGATGTTTGATTTCTAACACGGAAACGTATTTAAAACAAATAGGTTGTGTTATTTATTTTTCTTGGGCTTTTAAAACAATTTCTTTAAGTAAGAATAATATGGTTTAAGATGATGTTTGTTTTCTAACACGGAAACGTATTTAAAACAAATAAGTTGTGTTATTTATTTGTCTTGGGCTTTTAAAATAATTTAGTGAAATAAGAAAACATATAGTTTGATGGGTTATTTGTTGTCTAACACGGAAACATACTCAAAACACATACCTAAGCTGTAATATTTATTTTTGTTGTGCTTTTAAAACTTATTGAAACAAGAAAGGAAAGATGTGTTTGATGTGATGTTTGTTTTCGAACACGGAAACGAATTCTAAACACGAGGATTGTTTTTTTTATTTGTCTTGAGCTTTTAAGTCAATTTATGGAAATAAGAAAAAATATGGTTTGATGTGAAATTTGTTGACTAACACGGAAACGTATTCAAAATACTCAAGTTGTAATATTTATTTGTCTTGCGCTTTTAAAAAATGTATTAGAATACGAAAACATATAATTTATATTAAAACGTACACAATAACCACAACATAAACATTTTAAGCAATCCAAATAAGGAAAAACTTATTTGTTATTTATACTTGGGCTTTTCATTCTCTATAAAACTAGGATTTGTAGAGGGAAAAAACTATTCGTGTGATTTCTGAGTTCTACATTAATTTGTTGTAGCTAAAGTAGTAGATAAAATGTACTTAAAATTCATTATTTTCTTAATCGTTTCTGTTTTTATTGTAAACCCTGTTGTGGGTCCTCCAAATGAAGACACCCAGTTACTCATGAATCAAGTAATTTTTTTATATTTTCTCTGAGAATGCATACTTAATTGTGTAATTCTATTACATTGGCCAACATTTTTTTTTTTGTTAAAGTAATTTTCTCTACTCAACATTAAATCCTAATTTTTATCATTGACAATTATAATTTAACATTTCATTTTATTGTAAGGGTGTGTATTTCATTTAAATCAATTGGTCGGATTCTGTAAAATGTATTTGTTTCATTTTGGAGATATATATTTTTTTTATTTGTCCGGAATTTCACCCGACTCTTGTTTGTAAACCTCAATCATGAATGTGTTTTGGCCGTATACATTTTTTTTTTTTTAGTAAATAACTAATTTAATTGTGGATAATATTGAAATAAGTTCATGGGTAAAAAGTTAAGTTAATCTTGGTTCAAAGAATAATGAAAAAACTTTATTTTTATTCATGAATTTGATTTAAATGCACATTTATTGGAATCGTGCAAATCTCTGGCTTGTATCACACGTTGATGATTGTTCGGTTTATGTTGATCTCTAGTTTAAACGAATTTAAATTGCATTATCAGTTTTGTATGATGACAGTGTAATTAAATTTCAGACGCTAGATCGCGTTTACCTAAGGATTTTACAACACATCAATGCTCAGCATACTAATGCAGTTCAATATTTGATTACACTGAGCCAGTTTTTAGATTATGTGGGTTATCTCACAAACACCAGAGATACTGCGCTGCTTGTGGCACAGCAATGTTTTGGTGTCAATGTGCCATATTCAAGTAAACATTAATTTTACTTAATTTATCATTTAATAATAAATGTCAAGAAACCTTTTATATGGAGTTAACGTAAAACAGAAATGGTAGTGTTGTTGCAAAAATTGCTCGCATTTAACATTTTTTAGTCAGTATTGTGCGGTGTATAACTGCTGTTTGTATTCTAACAGTTTATATATAAATTGATCTTAATTAAGTTTTATTGTTTTTGTTTCAGAAATTATAAATCAAAACGATTTTAATGAACTTATAATAGAAATCTGCCGAAGACTCCCAACATCAGTACAAGCATACACATGTCTTATAGAGCAAGCAATAGTTTAAAAAAAAAATTGAAATGAAATTTATTAAAATTTTTGTTAAATTTATAAACGTTAATTTTCAACTAAATTAAATGTGTTTTAAACATACAGTTATTTAAATGTATTTATTTATTTAAATATAATGTTCAACGAGGGTAATGTTCCTATTGAGAGTGTACCGTTTAATTTAAATTTAAGCCAGGTTTTTCAAATTGGAGTTATGAAACTGTGTGCATTAAAAAGGAAATTCTCCACACTATAAGGTACCTAATTAATGAACAAACAGACGTTCGAATGGGTCGTGACACTGTGGAAACTATGTAAGAACTAGGAATAGACAAGTACAGGAAAAGAAACTATAGATTAGAAAAAAAAATAGGTACTTTATTGATACAGAAGTTTAAAATCTTTACCCCTGTGCCTTCGAACTTAAAGAAAATACCCTTAAATAAAGTACCACTGAAGTACAGTAAAACCTAAGATACATCATAAACCGTTCCATCCAGAAGAGGTAGTATCTTTTGTTAAATTTCTCTTGTTGGGCATAGTTAAAAGACTTAAGGTGACTTAAAGTAAAGGCTTGAATTTAATAGCTATTAATAAAATGATTCGTTAAAATAATATTTTTATCTTAATCTTTTTTTTATAATTATTCAAAATTGTGCTGGATAAAATTGTTTTTAAATAATCCCCCCGTTTGATATGACCGTTAAATTTGATGTTTTAAAAGCTGTAAATGTTGTAGTTGAGGTGTGATTTCAGAGCACACTAGTACAGGTACACAAACACTTGCGTGCATGTCATAATGTCGATTGTTATTTTCTGTTTTATTTTTCAAAACAATTTTCTATATAATATTTTCTGTCGTTACGATTTTGGGTGGCTCGGTGGCAAACATCCGAAAGAAAAACAGCTCATCGCAAAACCAAATGGCAAGGGCCTACGTTAGATTGATAGGTACAAAATACAATATTGCCATTCACTCTGCGCCGATGAAAAAAGCCAGAATAACAAGTCATTGTACGGGTAAAAAATACTTTTTATTCATAACACACTTGCGTGTTACGTGCGCAAGGGACATGAAAAAAAAATTGTTGTGCTAAAAGTTTTCTATGGAATCAACCACACAGTCATGTCATGTTAAACAAATAGTCTACTCTTTGGTAGAATTTTTTGCGTTCGTGCAGTGAACTGTAGTGTGAATTTCTTTGACGTATATTAATATAAAAAAAAAAAATTGTTTGATCCAAAACTCTTTACTATACAACTGCCTGTTATTGAGCATAAGAATCATTGTGTAGTAGATTTCAGATAAAGTCGGTAGCCTTATTCAAAGCGAAAACATAATAG